TTGATGCATTACTGTTTATTTTTTATAAAAATGTGTGGGACTTGGTGTTGTTAATTAGTTGAGTATCATTTATCATTTATCTTTTATTTTTTAACAGAAATAATTTTGTTTTGAAAATTTTATTCGCAATAGGTGTGTAGGATTTCGTAATGTTAGTTGGTTGTGCATTATTTTTTGTTTTTAAGTTTATTTTTATTTTAATTTAGCGTATTTTAAATTGGGTTTGTATTCATTAATATTTTTATTTATAGCTTGTGACGTTGGTTAGGATCGCTCTGTGGTTTAGAGTTATGGCCGTGTCCCCTTCTTTTATGATCACAGTGATGAAGGTAGTATTTGGCATCACATAGGAGATGTCAAGTGAGGTTTTACATTAGTCGGTCGGATTATAAATTGATTTAAGTATGTCGGGTGTATGTTGTTACGTTCATTGTTTTTTGTTTTGTGATTTGTTGTTGTATGTTGTTTTCTGTGAGATAGTATGGATGGTGAGTTGTTTTTGAGGGATTGATATCCCTGGGTAAATACGGGGGAGTAAGTTCCCCCATTTTTTGGTACGAGAGGAGAGGAACTTTTTGTTTAGTTATGTGATGAGGGGAGGAAGTGTTAGCAATGTATGATAGCAGGTAGGGAGTGTAAGCATTATGTGATTGTGATGTTGTGTTTCGCGAGACGAATGTGAAGATGAAGTATTTAGGTGATGTGCTTAATGATGTACAGGAAATAGAAGATTTTTTTAATTTTTGATGTTTATTCGCACATATGCTCTAGTAATTTATTATACAATTTAAAGCGTAAGATGTGGATATTGAAAAGAAGCATATGGGTTGGGGTTTAGATTATGTATTTATTTTTGGTTTGGGGATGGTTAGGGTAGTGTTTTGTTCTATTGTTATATCAGTATTCCTTTGGTGGACTAAATCTGCTATGGTAAAGGTGTTATTCGGTGCTTCATAGTTGCAGTTATTTAGGGTTTATGAGTTTATAACATAAAATTTCTTTATATATTCACAGTAAGTGTATGGAAAGTTGTATTGGTTGTAGATTTTATATTATTTTACAAGTTTTTTGAATTTTTATCTTTAATCTTTGTATAGTTTATACTGGGATGTAATTAACGTAATATGTTTATAGTGTATGCCTAGCGTTATGCGTAAAATAAAAGGATTCATTAATTTTAGTATTCATACATATATATTATCATATTATATTGCATCGTTTGGTGTATAAAATGTGGGTGTTGGAAGGTGTATATGGGTTGTAGGGTTTATATAATAATGTGAATTAGTAAGTCAATATATAGTGTACTTAAAAGAGCATGCCTTAATTATAAATATATAGTGGGGGTTATGTGTATGTAAATGATGTATTATGATGAAGATAAAATAAGGTGTTTTTATAGTTTATGTATAGTATTTATAATATAATATTATAAGCTATATAATTGGATTAATTGGATAAATTTCTAAGTGATGTCTGTGGTCGATGTTGCATCTGTTGGGTGTATTGCCTGTTGTTGTTGGTAGGGACT